AGCAGGAAGTGGCATGCAATTGCTTTCATTTGTTTTATTAACCGTGATATCTATCGGTTTTCTATTATTTTTTTATGTCAGCATCATTGTTATGCATGAGGTAGTGTGCGTTTTCTTTATTCTTAGAGGCACAACTGATGCCTTGATATCTTATTTCTATGCTGCTTTACCATGCTGGAAAAATGAAAGCCTGCACCTTATGGCAAGCCATTTTCCCCCTCTTCTTTTGGAAGTTGTTTACTTTCTGTTTAGTTAGTGAGGATGCACTTACAATTACTAACCTAATCTTTTTTGATAACCATCATTTTCAGGGGTTTTACCATGTTTAATCTCACTGATTATTTGAAGTCGAAGGCAGAGAACAAGATTATGCCAGATGATGTGAATGCCAAGGTGAGCCTCGTTAAAAATTTATTCTTGCATCCACTCAATAACAATTGGTACCTTTTTTCCTTATCTTATTTGGAACACTGGGTTTTGGTTAATCAAACCGATGATTATGTGTTCCATGCAGCTTCTTGGATGCCATGGACCCTTGGCCAACCGTCAACCTGGAAGAGCATCCTTACCAGCTACTGCTTAGATCTTTTCATTCCTGGAAATAACTTCGTTCATCTCTTAGCCTCTGAGGAATTTATCCATTACTCCTTTTCATTCCTGGAAATTGTTGGTTGTGGTTGCCTTTCCATGAAGAGTAAAGAGCCTCAAGTATCATTTCTGTGAATTTTTGGTTGCACTGCGTGAAAGTTAAGGTTGGATTCCTTTTGTGCCATTGCCACTGCCTTCGTTAATTTAGAAGTGTGTGGTGTGTGTTTGGCGTTGTGGCAGCTCTTGCAAGGGAGGTGTAAGAAAAACTATAAATTGTAGGTTTTCTCACAAAATTTTTACCATGAAAAGCAATTAACTTTTGAAGTTGTGGTCAGTTTAAGCATCAGTGTGCTTAAAGGAGCCTAAAGCTCAACGCCTGGAACAAGAGCGATGTTAAACCTTAATGTTTCTTACTTACGAGGCCTCCCAATGACTACCCTTCCTTCCAGTACCAACTAACAAGGGGATGGAAAGCCAACCAGTGAATATAATCTCGTGTTGTAAATCTTCCCGACTCTTTAATATTACGAATTATTATCAGATTCTCGCAACCGCACCTCGTCTTTAGAAACCAAAGAATAAATAGAAGATATGTACAAAATACAGTGGTCTCCAAATGCATGGATGTCACATGATTTTGTCCATATCACCCTATATTCATCGGTTTCTTTATGGATTATGTGTTAGACTAAACCTAGCTACTTGAGAATTTCTCCAGGACTGCACATTTGACAAGCGAGAAACTGGGACAAAAAAGAATGCCTCTTGCCACAATCCACAATGAGCTAGGCAAAAAGTCGAATAAAAATGTTTGAAGATTAACAAGCTAGACTAAACTTAACAATAATATCAAATAGTTATTATATTTCATCTTTTGATGATCATGTAACTTCATCACATAATGATGAGATGAAGTAATATGATCATCATAATTGAGCTATATATACATATAATATATATATATATATATATATATAGCTAGAGTTTGTTTTTCATAGTGGTCGCATGCGGGACATAAATACAGGACATGCACGTGGTTGATGATCAGAAAGGAAATTCTCATCATTTATTGGGGAGGCTGAGATATCTGGGAAAAACAACGACATGCACATCCAACTTCATCAGCAATATCTCTAAAAATAAAAGCAGCTGGTAAAATGAATCTTTCAACAATTATTATCAGTGGGCTCGGAAGTCAAATTGAGAGAAGTATATTAATTTTGCTATTACAAGTAAATGTTGTTATTGGACATTTATTCCCCTCGTTAATTAATTTTCAAGTGTTTAAATGAAATTAGTTTTGCTATATATCATGATCTAAATCTCTATACTTTAAAAAAAAAAAAAAAAAAAGAGGTAAAATTCACGTTAAGTTAAACACAGATGATGGCTTTATATTTGATGAGATCAAAGAAAAGGGTTTAATTTTGAGATAGCTTGCTTCACTTGATTTTGTCAAAGTAAAATGCTCATATTTTGATCTTGTCAAGGTTGCAATAAAGAAAGTCGTAGCATGTGGTGGTCTTAAGCTTTGCCGTAAAAGATCTTTCCGCTGCCTTACATGTCTAATATTAATAACCTTCAGCGTAGAAGAATATCATCTAAATGGTCACCTCTCCAAAAGATCTTACACATTGTCAATTTCAACGTTTTTGTCTAATCATCAAAGCTCTCTAGTTACAGGTTTTCTTGCTCAAGCTTGATCAACACTACTGATTTTCAACTCTACCTACAGCTTACGTATGCTTGCTTCTATATATTCTTCCATATGTGTAAAAAAATCTTATCTTTTTCTTTCTTAATTTATCTATTGTTTTTGGTAGCAATTTGTTTCTTCGTTTATTGCATCTCTAGCATTCTGGAAACTATTGTTTTGACTAGCTGTCTACCTTGTCTGAGAAGTAATTAGAAAGTATTTGGTATTTTTATTAGAACACGTGGTTTCTATTTTCATTAGAAAACATGGACTTTTCTGTGCAGATTCAAGCCCCTGAAGCATCTGTTTCTTTGTCTGTTTCTTTATATCAGTGGGAAATTTAGATTGTCCAACAACTTTCACTTCTGGGTTTTAGGAGATGATTCGGGGTTCTGGTGCTTTTTCCCTTCTTGGCATGCCTAATTCAAGAGCTTGCACATTTGGAGCTGTTCTACTTATCTGGCTCTGTTGCTCTTCATTACTTGTAGCAGCACAAGATGGAATTACTGACCCTGTAGAAGGTGATTTTGCTTGAATTGTTAGCTGCTCTTTTCTTTTCCTTTGAAGATACTTTCCACAGCAGCACCGCAAGCTTGATTTCTCCTTCTAGAATTAGTACTGTCTGGCATGAAGAGGCCCGTCTGAACAGAGTTCATGATGTATCAACATGTTTTATTTTCACCTAGATTCTTATTTAAAGGAACCATTGATAATGTGAGAACCCAACATTTTTTTCCTCAACCAAGCTCAAAGTCAGAGACCAAGAGATGCAAACCTTATACTTATAATTATGCCGTTACACAAACTATAATAAAAATTAAGATTTGATTTTGGAAACCTAAAATAAATATGATAGAAGTGTAGCATAACAAAATGTAGCATAACAAAAAATTATTTCAAGATACTAATATTATTGGAATGAAATAGAATGATACTACAAAGTTAATTAATCTTTAATAAATCAGATTTGTTTTGTTCAAGAACCAAAAAATACAAGAATCTCTCTCGCATGTTAAAACTAAACAATTCAGAAGTGTTATTCATTGATGACTGTTGAAATTTAGGCTTACATGTGTTTAAATAATTCTGAAAAATTAACCATAATAGATCTATCTTTCTAAGCTGAATTGACCCGCTTATAAAAATTGACCTAAAACCTTTACTAATAAGCCCAAATCCTAATCCAAACCAGCATTAAATCCTAACTTAAAATAAAGTGTTAATTAAGTACAAACAAGCCTTAGGTTGTAGCTAACAAAAACAAAAATAAAAATAAAGTCCATAAGTTATAAGTCTGTCCTAAAAACCAACATGTCATTAAATACCACCAGCTCTTCTTTCCTTGTTTAGCTATGATGAATAAGAAATACTTGTAAGAATAGGATTTAAAAACATTAATAAATCCTTACCTCACTTGAAAATTATATTGCCGCCTATTAAAAATTCTTGTAGAACTAGAAAATTCCCTAAACAAGTTGTCACATCTTTGTAGAAAAATGATCCTTGCCAAATAAAAAGTTCACAAGTCAAAAGAAAATAAATAATAAAATTTATACAATTTGTTTTGATCTATATCGCAAGTTCTTCCCAAACTCCGATTCCCCCAGCATAGAAAAATACATCTAAAATCTTTTAGAAAAGTTTTAACTTGATCCAAAGATTTATTTTAGAGTTATGCGTAATAGCATAAAACTAAACAATAAAAAGAATTTATGCCACAATTCGAATCTAGCATTTCTTGGATCATATCACTAAAAATATGAGTCTGACAAGCTGTTAAAACCTACATCATTAGGCTTAGCTAAGTGATGAGCCCAAGCATATACAAGTTTGGTGAGCTGCCAGACCCTGCATCATTTAGGCTTAGCCAGGCACTGAACCCAAGTATGTATAGGTATGATGAGCTACCAGAGTAATCCTAAACATATACGAGTTTGGCGAGCTGTCAGATCTAGTATTTTTAGGCTTAGCCAAGCATTAAGTCAAGCATATACAAGCCTGCTAAGTTGCTAAACCTAATATCCTTAAGCTCAACAAAGCTTAGCAAAAGTACATGTAGATCTGATAATCTTGTTACGCTTTATATTGGATCACAAGAATTTGATGAGTCAAAAATTATTTCCTCTCTTTGACACATAAGAGATGTTCCATGTTATCAAAAAAATATAACTTTTTAGCTCTCCTCTCTACTAAAGGGTAAGATTCATGGGTTGTAAAGACCTTTTGAGTCGTTAAAAAAAGAGAGGTTAACAATCCCATAATTCAAAATAATATTGATTTTTTTCTCTGATACTTAAGCATCAAAAAGTCTCCAAATGTATAAAAGGAGATGTTTTATAGGTGCCAATCACTGACCATCTTAGCTCATCATGCTTCGGGCACCAAGCACTAGCTATTAGAATAGTTATTAAACCTAACTTAAGGGGTAACCCAACTAAAAGGCCAGCTCTCAGGTCAACACGAGTCAACTTGAAAAAAATTTAAATATATATGTCGCACCCTCGCAGCGGAGCGCGGCGTCTCGGCGACTATCGATTCATTTCGGGGTCTCTTAGTTTTATTTTTATGTAAAAGGGAGTCGCCACCTAGTATTATGGTCACTAGAAAACCTAACTGGTCTTTCAGAGATTCTAAGGCAAGGGACTGGTTGCATAAAGGGAAGGTGTTAGCACCCCTAGTACGCCCTACCTAAGGTAAGCTGTTTGGTGTTTAGTTTGTCTTATAATTGCTATGGTATTGGTGTTTTCTAATCCCATCAGTTTTTCTTGGTTTGATTCTAACTAAATTTATTAAGAAAGAAATCCAAGAAGATTAAATGTGCTTTACAAGCTCATTTTTCCCTTGGTATTTCAAGAATTTGCAACTCATAAATCGCAAGGAGGAGGGACAAAAATTAGAAATCTAAACTGCTTTAAAAATCTATTTTTTTCTTTGTGTTTTAGACTCTCACGACTCGTAAACCGTGGAGTAAAAAAAAACAATTAAAATATCCTTGATTATAATCAAGACTTCTTTCAAGGATGTGTGCGGATTTATTATTCCTAGAAAATTATTTTGAATATTTACCACTCCTGGATTTTTTTATCCAAATATTAACAGTGAATAATAATAAATTATTCCCAATAATATTTTGGATATTCGTCCTTTAAGGATTTCTTTATCTAAACATTAGTGGTGAATAATAAATGAATTCCCCCCAAAATAAAATTTTTATATTTTTTAGAATATTGGCTAATACCCTTTAGAGTTTTACAAATATGTTGTAAAATCCAGAAATGTAAAAAAATAATTTTTTATGTTTAAGAAATCCATGCAAAAACACATTTTTCAAAACTTTCAATATTTTTTTTGTATAAAAAAAATATTCAAGACATGTTAGGGTATTGACCATATGCATGAAAACATTATATATATATATATATATATTTGACATTCTTGCGTTGAAAATCGGGTATTTTTTATAAAAAAAATACGAACCTTAAAATAAATATACTGGAAAATCATCAATCTCTCTCTATTTCTTTTTTTTTTGGAAAAAAAAAAGATGAAACCAGTAAATCCGGCCGGGTCACTTGCTTTTGGCTGGACACAAAGAAAACTCAGCTACTGTTCAAGTGAATTATAATTCACTTGAACAGTAAACACAAAAGGCATGCACAGTAGCTATGTAATTAAAATGCAAAGTGAAGAGAATGCATGGAAACTTACCTGGAGCTGAAACGGGCGAAGTGAAGAGAATGCACAGTAGACGACTGGGCGCTGCTCACGAAGGAAGATCCGGCCTGCTGCTCACAGCAAAAATAGAATTTCTGTCATGCAGGAGAGTTTCCGATGTGGCTTTAATAGAGGCTGGAAAAAAAAAACATCTTGCTATCATGTTACTGCTGCTGTTTGTCGCTTTGGATGAAGGATCCCTGCTACTGTGTTGCTCTTGCTTATTGCTGCTCACAGTGTTGTCGTCTAGTTCACAAGTGGAGGAAAGTCTTCTGCTGGCATGGCAAACGATCGACGCCCTTGGAGTCTCGGTTTTCTGCTCCTTCTGTACTGTCCTTCGGCCTCCCCTCTTATCTCTCCATCTTCTCCGTAATGAGCTGTTGTTAGCAACAGAGAGGAAGGGAGAGGGGACAGTGTATGGCCAGAAAGAGATCCTTAGTTTCTTTAAAGGGAGCGGCTGCTTCGTTGTTTTTACTTTTTTTTTTTTAAGATCAGTTAGAGCTACGACTTCTTTGCTAGAGAAATAGGGTTAGAGTTTTTTTTTTCCTAAAGATGAGCAGGTTTTTTCTGTGTTTCCTCTTATTTTTGTTTGTCTCTCTGCCCCTTATAAATTTTTCTCCCCCCCTTGCGTATTGTTCCACGTTCATTTACATAGAAGTTCTTTATATATGCTATTTAAGGAAATATCACAATACTTATTATAGAGATTGTCTTCTATAATCAGCACTAACAAATCCTATATATATATATGATATTTTATATTATAGAGATTGTATTCCATAACCGCTATAACAAATCCTGTATGCATAGTATTTTATATTGTAGTGATTATTTTTCATAACCAGTACGAAGCAAATCATATATATGATTTAGTAATTATTTTCTTGACATATTGCTTTCTTAAAATTAGCTCCCCCATGCTCTATGTTATCGTCTTTTTTTTATTTTTTATTTATCAAAACATTGGTTAAAAATTGGGTAGCAACAATATATATATATATGTGTGTGTGTGTGTGTGTGTGTGTGTGAGTTTTTAATATTTCACGTGAAAAAGTTAAGAAACATTGCATGTGGATGAAGGCTATATATATAGTTATCCCACATGAAAAAGTTAAGAAATATTGCATAGGGATGTAAGATGTAAATATAGCTAAATATTCCATGAGAATAAAGGCTATATATATAGTTATCCCATATATAATAGTTAAGAAACATTGTATGAGAATGAATACTATAAATATAGCTAAACATTCTATAGGGATGAAAGTTAGATATATAGTTATCCTAAATGAAAAAGTTGAGAAACATTCCATATAGATAAAGGCTATAAATATAGCTATCTCACATGAAAAACTTAAGAAACATTTAATAGAGATGGAGGCTATAAATATAGTTATCCCACATGAAAAAAGTTAAGAAACATTTCATGGGGATATAGGCTATAAAAACACATGTGAGGCCAATTATTCATAAATTAACTTTGTATTTTTTTAATAAACAAAAATGAAAAAAAAAAGATGTCAAGTTTCACCCAGGTTATGCCAGGTCATTTGGGTTTCGAATTGACATGGTAGGTCATCAGGTTTTACCAAGCTAATTGTAAACCTAAATTTAGACCATTTAAAACCCAATCAAGGCTTGAGGTCAATCTATTGGGTTGGGCCAGGTTTTATATCTATAGCTATTAGTCATTTTGCCTAACGAGAATGGATTAGATTTCAAGAATCAAGTTATTAACCGAGTATCTAACATCTAAATCTTGCTCCTAAATAGTTTAGGTATTTTAAGACCTTATCAACTAGGATCTCTGTGAGGAACTAATCAAAAAGTCATTAATTATTCTTCTAGAACTAGTTTTTGACATCCCTAATCACTATCAAAGAAAAAAATCACGATATGCCTGAAGTCTTTAGATAATCTTTTATTGACTCTTGAGACGCATCTTAGTGGAAATATGTATCGTGCAA